TGACAAAGACATAGTTTAAAAATATTTTTGGATATAAAGGGTGTAACGCTTGTGCCTGGCTAATAAAAATGTATATTTTTTTAAACGGAACTTAAATTTTAGTTTTAGAATGGTAATACTGTATTTAATCCTAAAATATTTTTAAAATTGTTGACTTATATGGTACCAAGCTAACAAATAGTGATTGATGATCCATTTTATAAGTATTTTCAAACCTGTCTTAAATATGGCCCATTTTAAGTTCAATTTAGTAATTTTTTTCAAAATTACAGACCTTGTATATTATTTTGGCATTAAATTCGTTATAAATTTTATCTATCCAACGATACCAAAATGCTGGCCTGCTATTTTTGTACAGTGTGTTCCATCACTACATAATTGCTCTCTAGCCGTTTTATTATTGAAGAAATTTTGAATAAAAAAGTTGTCCGTTTTATATTTTAAAATTATTCTTAAATATACAGGGTAGCCCATAAATTAGGGCAAAACCCTTATACCTTTTTAAACCAAACTATATTCACCCATAACGGATTTGATTGATTTCACACGTTTAATAGACTTAACTAAATAATGTTGCATTTTCATTAATTTACTATTCTATTACAGTTTGGACTACCACTACTACCGTAAAAAGATCATCAGCCATTGTTTTAGGACGGCAACCCTATAATTTTCCTATAAACGTCCCAGTTTTCATTCTACAGGGTGGTAAAGTGAATTTCATAAATACATAATTTTCTAAATTTCTTTCCTTACAAAAAAATTTTCATCTAAGCTTTTTTCATAAAAGTTAATATTAATAATTATTGCTCACGCAATTTGTAACAAAAAAAAAACTCTTAAAACATTTCATTTCTGAGAATTTTTAGTTTTAGTCCTACAAACATGAAATCTATGTACGATTTCATAATGAATATTAAAAGGTCCATTATCTAATAGGACCAAGACTTTATAGATTTGTGGTCCCATTTTTTAAATTTCATAATGTACATAGTAGGACTAAAACTAAAAAATCTCGAAAATGGAATGATCTACAGAGAACAACCAAGTCCCTAGTTTGTATCAAATTGCCTGAGGAATAATTATTAAATTTATAAATTAGTTGTATAAAATACAGGGTATTTATTGCATTTGAAAACATTGAGAATATCTAACTTTTTGATACACCCTATACAGTATCTATGCAATGGAAAACTTTTTTATTATTAGTTAAAAATGATATTCTTCATAAAAAAATGTACATGGTCTAAAACCTAAAATACAACAATCCGATATCAAAGTTTATAAGTCATTTACAAGGTTTGTCAAAAAAATTATTTTAGGTCAAGAGTAAGAGACTCATAAAATTTGATATCTGATGGTTGTATTTTAGTTTTTAAACCATGCACAATTTTTTTATGAAGAATAATGTTTTCTTAAAAATAATAAAGTTATTCTTCATAAAAAGTTCTTCATGACTTAAAACCTAAAATTCAATCATCTGATATCCAATTTTATCAGTCGTATATGAGGTTTGCCAAAAATAAAAGTAGGTACTTTGCTCTTGATCAACAATATTTTTTTGACAAACCTCGTTTACGACTCACAAAATTAGATATAATATGATGGTTGTATTTTAGGTTTTAGATCAAACACATTTTTTTATGAAGAATAAATTTTTTTTGATAAAACTAATAAAAAAGTTTTCCATATGTAGCCAACTTACGTAGACACACTGTACAGTGTTTATTTTTTCGTGTTAGGCATACTACTAGTATACAAGTTAATAAAATGGCAGCAGGGCAAGAGCCAGTCGTTGGACAAGAATGAGAAGATATGGTGGTGGGATATTAGCCGAACTAAGAGCATAGCGATAGCGGGGATATCGTAGTTGCCACTGTTTGCTGTAAAAGCACGGCTATGTCTAATACAAAATAATAAGTACTGTATATATCTTAGCAAATGAATGAAAATGCAAAACATTTTTAGGAACGTTAAGACTATTAAAATGTTTCAGAAAAAACTTATAGAGCAGTGATTAATACATTTGACTATAAAAAAAAACAAGATACTAGAAATATTCTTAAACCACTATACAGGTTCCATAATCCACTCGGATATGTCAAGATGAACTTTCCAGAAATTACCATATGGGAATAAATCACATTATACGAGGACTTTTAACACACAACACACGTACAAAATCTTATTTTTTTATTTTTTAAAGACATGTTATACATTATTATATTTAAATTTTAGTTATTTTTATCGAATTAATAATTTTCAGTCGCATTTCATATGTAGCGATGGCCGGTTGGTTTCTTACTATTTAAAATTGTTTAAGGATATAAATACAATCAATCAAATCTGTTATGTTAACTACCTACAGTGTTTGCTTTAAAAAAGTATTTGGTTCGTCCCTCATTTATGGACCACCTTGTAAATTAATAATTTTAAAATATGGTCATACAACTCTTATATTCAAAATATTAAATAAAAAAACAGCTATTGATCAATACACTGTACGTAAATATTAGGCTAACAAGTTCGTATCGTTGGATAGATAAATTCATGAGTTTAATGCTAAAATAATATGCATTAGAAAAAAATTAGTAAACTGAACTTGAAAAAAGTCCTATAAAAAATGAACCAGTTCTATCAATCATAACTAGTCGTTATCTTGGTACCTTATAAGTTTGCAATTTCAAAAATATTCCAAGGTTGAATACTTTACCAGGCCATGCTAATACTGAAATAAAATACAAGGTGTTCAATTTAAAAAAATATGTTGTCACAAAACACTTTTGTTGTTTTTGTTTCGTTAAGGAACAGTTTCGAAATAATCCATGGGGACATCAAGAAAGCAAATTTATACACCAGAAAAATGCAATTTTCTTTGTAATTATACCATAATAAACTCAGTCAAAATTTGCACTTGTGGCATTGTTCTTCCGGAGAAATATTGGTGTAGATGCGAGAATGTCACTGATGAGTCACAGTCATTGATGTCATTTACTGTTATAATTTTGTAGTTTCCAATTGGTCCAACGATCTGGCAACTCTGCATTTATTTTCACCATCTATGGCTTTCACGTTCTTCCAAGAACACCATTTTTTTTTTTTTCGGAAAGTGAAAATCAAGTAAATATATTCTCCGAAGTGTTTCAATTTCTCTAATTTTCAAGCATACGCACCTTTATACAGGGTGTACCAATCTTGCGGAAAAGTTTGATATCTTCCTTGTTTTGTATCTGCATCTGTAACGTGTGGAGGGTGGATTACCTCCCACGGCACTTAGACCTCACTAGGCCCATTGTGCATCCTCCTAAGATGATAGGCACCTCCTAGCTCGTGAGCCAGCCTACAGATTTAATGTAGTTGACAACGTCACCAAGAGGTGCTTCTCTTATATCCTTGAATTTCACAAGGGTATCGTGCTTGTTGTAAGATATTAAAAAAAGTATTAACACAATTTATAGTGTGGCTAAGATTTTTTTAAATTAGAACACCAGTTTATAATTTTAGATTTAGATTATTCTCATTTTTTCCATTCTGCTAATGTATGGTTTGTTTAGGTTATATAGAAGAAATTGAAATTTTTGCATGAAAATTGTAAGTAAATCAACGCCCTGTAACCAATTGCATACTGTGGAAAAAATTGTTTTTTTACATACACGACTTTTTTAATATCATGAATTTCACTTTTCTTTAGTAACGTTTTTATTCTATGCTTATCAGACTTCAAGACTCGGACCCTTGATTTTCATCTTTTATTTAAATTGAACACTCTATATTTTGTATCACCAGCAGGTTACCATCTGTAATAAGCCTTCCATTTTTATCAAGCATTCCCTATCCCTATAGTTAATATTTATCCATTTTGGTAACATTAAATGAAAATTGTAGTGCAATGAATAATTTTTTTTAAAAAATGGATGTTTAAATAGGCACCTTTCATGATTACTCTACTTCAAACCCACATTTTATAGTTGCTGCAGCCAAATGAGGTGGTCATTGAATGTTTGTGGAGGAATTGTAGGTGATTATCTAAGTAAGGACGAGTTAATGGTGCAGTATATTTAAATTTCCTTGAAAATCATTTATTGATATTACTCCAGGATGAACCCCTTCACATTCGCCAACAAAAGTGGTTTTGGCACGATGGTACCCCTGTCCATCACATCGCACTAATTCACATTTATCTAAGTAATCACTTTCCAAAAAGGTGGATAGAAAGAGGAGGACCAATAGGGTGGCCAGCTCGATCACCGGATTTAACAAAAAATGATTTTTCTGTGACATTATGTAAAAAATTAAATTTATAATATTCACACATTATTTTTTAAAGTTTATAAAGTGTTGTTTTATTCTTTAAAAAAAACTAGTTTTATCTATTGAAATAACCATAATGTTCATTTAATGTTACAAAATATCGATAATTATTAACTGTGGGTATAGGGAATGCTTTTTTCAGAGGAATCTACTGGTAATAAAAAAATATAGGGTGTGCCATTTAAATAAAACATGAAAATTAAGGATCCGAGTTTTGAATTAACCTTTATACTAATAAACGTAGAATAAAAACGTTACTAAAGTGTAAAAAACTCGTGTAGGTAAAAAAACTATTTTTTCTGCAGTATGTAATTGGCTACAGGATGTTGATTTACTTACAATTTTCATACAAAACCATATATTAGAAGAATGAAAAAAATGGGAATAATCTAAATATAAAATAATAAACTGGTTTAAAAAAATATATGTTTGGTTAGTACCTAAGTCGTGCAATACCCTGTGTACCTCTATTTAATTTTAAAATGTGTCCCTCAAGCCACCCTACAAATTTTGTTATTACATTTTTTTACTATCTCTTGCAACAAGGATATTATCGAGCTTTTCCACAAGATTTGTAGTTATTTATTAACATAAAATGCTAATTGATGTACTTCCTTTAAATATTAGTAATAACATAATAGATAGGTACAAAAAAAAAGGATAAATATAATTTAAATTTTTCAAGTTTGCTTAGTTTTATGGCGAGTAGGATGTGGTTATAATCCAATTTTGCAAATGCATGATCAACAAGACCGCCTGATCTTAACCCAGCTAAAAGTGTATCGTAATTTGATTAAACAATTTGAAAGATAATTAAGAGGTCAGTATCAGGGAGATCAAGGATTAGTAATGTCCAAATTGCCGAAATTATTCTGGAAAATAAGTACATAACTAGACCTAAACAAAATGTAACCAATGGTCCAAGTTTTAGCTTAAAGCAGAATTTTGTAAATTAAATTTCACATAAATTTACATATTAATATCACGAATTTCATTTTATACAAACCATCAATGTAGAATGATGATTAGACAAAAGTACAGTAACTTTTTATATAACCAATCTAGATAGATCACCGTAGTTCGTCTACTAAAACGCAGAAATAATCTATTTCTACCGAAATTGAAATAAAAAGTTTAAAATGAAAAGTAAAAAATAATAATTTAAAATTATTCCTTTGCGAATCTCGAATTATGGGTGCTATTTAAAACAACTCAAACTAACGCTGTGGCAGTCAAATAGTTACCCTTAGGGCGAATTAATGTACATGGATATTTACAAACTGGTTTCAGACAAGTATGTCATCTTATTTTGTGAAAAAATGTGAAAATTCGTTTTTAATAGACATATTTTAATACACCTTAATATTATATATTTTAGTTTTGTTAGTTACACATTTTTTTTCACATAAAATCATATTCTTGTCCGTAGTTTTAATGTCTAGTCTTAATTTGTTCCAATTTGTACTAAGTTGAAGACTACAGTTTCTATAACTCTTAAAAAAAATATTTAAAATATCATAACACAAGTAAAATGTTTCAAATAAAATTCCAAAGTTTAAGAAGGCGTTTGGAGAAGGCGATTTTAAAATTCAATTAAAAAATACTTTAAAGAAATTACTTTATATTTAGTAATTCAAAAGTTAAAAAATCTCATTTAAGAGAATTGAAGAAACGAAGGGTTATACATTACCACTGGTTACGAAAGTAATATTTTTTTATCTAGAAGAAATTTTTTTTTGACATTATCGGCTGATATTAGTCGAATAACTTACCTTCACCAAACACTTCTTACTCTTTGTCAAAAACAATCAATGAAATGTATATAGATTTTAAAAACCTTAGGCCAAATTAAAAAAATTCACTCTTAGTTACTGTATTACAACAATAATTGAAATAAAAAATGCAAAAATAAATATCATGATAAAATTCAAAATGAAAAGAAATTTGCTCGCAATTATTCAACTTAACAAACGGCGCATGAATCTCAGGGATTATCTGGAATATCGAGTATTTCTGAAACGAAAGGAGATATGTCAGTGTTAATTTCCTTGTGTTTCGTTAAAAACCTATGATCTAATAATTGACTGTAATTGGGCCTGTCTACGTATTTTTTCTGAAGACATTTACAAATAAAGTCATCAAATTCGGGGGAGAATTGTTCAGAAGGTAACCTAGGCGGATCGTCTGCTACGACTTGCTTTAATTGTTCAAAAGGTGTGCCCCATTTGGGATATGGAAATTCTCCAGTTGCCAGTTCAATTAATGATATTCCCAGGCTCCATACATCTGATCGGATGTCGTATTGTGATGGGTTTCCTTGAGGGTCTATTCTTTCAGGCTAAAAATAAAATAAAAACTTATTTAGTGTTTTCTTAATAACATAGGCATCTAAGCTAGATGACTTAAAAAGCCAGGGATGGTTTTTATTTTTTTATTGGCAAGTTAAATGATACAACCTTTTTTTATATTAGCATCCGTTTTAATCATACATTTAATTGTATGACACTTTAAATATTAAAGATGTGGTTTAAAAGGGAAAACCAAACTTGGTAGATTTTCACTTTTAATTAAAAAAATAAAAATTATTCATGAAAATTGTTTTGTATAAAACTTCTTCTTCAAATGTGACTAATTTACATTTCCGTGTATAATATATATACAAAGTAAACTAGTTAAAGTATACTTAAGAAATATATGTATGTTAGAAGGTAAACAAATTTTTGTGTGATTACTAATTGTAGTATAATGTAGAGAACATTGACAGTCAAGAGAGGGGAGTGCAGGGACCTATTACGATAGCGAAGTACCGCCAGCACTTCTCCAGGCAGAACGAGTTGAGTCGCCTTGAGTGTCTAGTGTGGTCAGCTGTGGCTGTAGGCGGTTGATTCTCACGCATTGTGTTCTATCGATAATAATTTGGTAACTAAATAATTATTTGACTTGATAATTAATGAAATCTAACATCAGAAGTAGGATTCACTCACTAAAAGTACCACGGAAGTACATGGGGGTTGACTATTCCTGTGAATATTTCCAAGATTATTAATTCGTTAAATTTATCAGTTGATTGATTGTTTGAGATTGTTATTGGCCATATTGGCGACTGTCCTTTTTTGTGTTAATTCGTTAAATTTGTCAGTTGACTAATAATTATTTGAAATTGTTATTGGCGATATTGGTGGTATTCATTTGAAACACCGTCATCCTGTAGAGGCAAATAATTTTATGCAGCCGATAAAAATGTTATTTTCGTGTTTTGAAAAGAAAAAAAAAATGCCACTGTGAAGCTTGTTTTAAAAAGAAACTTACCAATCATCTAACTATCAAATAAATTTATTGAATTTGATAGGTTTTTTTTTGGAATAAATTTATAATTTAACTATCTGATAGATACGGGAGAGAAATGTAGATTGGCAATTGTAATTTAGAGCACTGATAACGTTAAAAGGTGTACGCAACGTAACTTTTAAAAATAGTAAAATAAGAATTGAATGCAATGCTATAGGTTCCAAAACTTGTTTTTATGATGTGGACAATTTAGCAGTGGTCTACTACGCTATTTTGTAGTCGTTTAATTATTATTTTAGTAGAAATTAGATGAGAAAAAAAATGTTTTCTTCGTTAAAACGAATTTATATTATCTTTATCAATAACCGGCTAACAGAAGCTTAGAAAAGCAAAACGCAGATAAGCTTAAACATTTATTGTTAAATTTGTTTAAGTTTGGAAATAATTATTTAACAATACATACCACTGAGTTAAAAATAAAGCTATCTAGTGACCAAGTCATTAGTTATCACACGTACTGTTTGTCAGCAACGAGAAGAACAAATAAATATTCTTTTTCATACAATTTCTATTGATTCTGTTGAGCCGTGATTTAAAATAACAAATAACCACAGATGGTTTTAAACACGGTTTATTTATCGTCAATGCTTTTAAGAGATATGTAATTGTATACCATTTTAAAAAAACGTTAACCAGAGCAGAAAATACTAAAACATTAGAGAATTATATAACGATGTTTGGCGGCACGTATTATAATTAACCGTGGAACAAATTTTACCGATAAAAAAATCCTTATTCGTAAATATAATATTAAGCGTCATTAAATTATGACAGGGGCACTATAGGGAAAATTTGTCAGAATGGACGAGCGCTCTTTCCAAATTACGTTTAACTATTAATTCTACCATTCGGAAAGTTAGGTCAGGTTAATCCCCGAGTACCTCTGAACTTACTGTTGTTTTCATGTTACCAGGAAGTCAATTACAGGTCAGGTTAATTTCTGAGGAGTACCTCTGAACTTAACGATGTATTCATGTCACCAGAAAGTCAAGTACAGGTCAGGTTAATCCCTGAGGAGTACTTCTGAACTTCTCTACTGTTTTTATTTAGTAACAAAGTTAAATACAGGTCAATTAAATATCTGAGGAGTACCTCTGAACTTCCATTTAAAGCTTTTGCTTTTGTGAGTACATCGTTAAGTAGAGGTCAGTTAAATATTTGAGGAGGAGGTAATAAACTTTAATTTAAAGTTGTTTTTTTTTGTGATTAAAGAAATTAAGTATAGGTCAGCCAAATATCTAAGGAGTACCTCTGAACTTATTGCTTTTATTTTGTCTGCTTAGCACAAATTTAGTGAAATCTTTTTAAATATTAAATATAGTATAATTGTTAGCAAAGTGCAAGCTTTATGTTTTATAAATGTGGTCTGGTAAATGGTGTGAGGAATCCGAGGATTCACAATCACAGAAAAATCGGTATGTTATACTGTCCTGGATGGGCGGTGTTAGCAGGTATTCTTTTGTTTTTGGTTTTTCCTTTATGTTTTGTTGCCTGATATATTAACTGCTCGAGACCTACTAGATGACTTGCTTTTTAACCACACGATGGCAGGTAGTAAGCATTTCGTGACTAGTAGAATGAAAAATGCTGGACGGATATTGTTGAAATCCGAGGGCATAGCTTTTATTTTAAATGATATAAAAAAATATATAAATTGAAAAATGCTGGAAGGATATTGTTGAAATCCAAGGAGCATAGTTTTTATTTTAAATGATAAACACTTATTTAAAAATGCAAGGTTTTGCCTCGTCTCAGAATGTGACAAGAGGATAAGCAGGAAACTTTTTCGAAATAATTGGCGTGGGAAGAATTTGGCGGCTGATCTTGTAATTTTGTTATTTTTATTTGATAGGTCTTTTCCTTTTGTTAAATATTTTTATAAATTAAAAAAATACAAATTAATAACCAGTCTTTACATTAAAAAAGAGAATATTTCGAGAGCGAAATATAGATCAGCATGGCCGTGTTAGCAGGTAAACAAATTTTTGTGTGATTACTAATTGTAGTATAATGTAGAGAACATTGACAGTCAAGAGAGGGGAGTGCGGGGACATATTGCGATAGCAAAGTACTGCCAGCACTTCTCCAGGCAGACCGAGTTGAGTCGTCTTAAGTGTCTAGTGTGGTCAGCTGTGGCTGTAGGCGTTTGATTCTCACTCATTGTGTTCTATCGATAATAATTTGGTAACTAAATAATTATTTGACTTGATTATTAATAAAATCTAACAGAGAGAGAGAGAGATTTTTTAGATAATAGTACATCATATTTACTTACAGCCATGTATGGTTTACATCCTGCATCAATAGTTTTAGCAACAGAGTCTACTAAATATCCACTGATTCCAAAATCACACATTTTGACTTCACCATCTCTATTGATTAGAATATTGGAAGGTTTAACATCTCTGTGTATAACTTTAAGTTGAGAATATAGGTAATGTAAGGCACTGACTACAGCTAGTGCAATTTTTCCTACAAAATCACAAACAATAAATAACCATTATCCATTGGACAATTCAAATCACTTTAAAACAAATAAAATAAGTCATTTTAACATTTACTGTTTAACATTCTTCTAAAAATTTATGTAATGAATTGTAAAACTTAAAAGAGTATATAAATTCCTTGAATATGAAATAATAGAATCAAAATTGATTTTTCTAAGTAAGCATCTGGATCTGAAAATTACAATTCTTACATTAATTTCAAGAAAAAGACAAATCTATAAAATTTATCATTTTATATAAAAATAAACAGTTTCGTTATGATAAGAAATTTAACTTTTTACTTTATATTTATTTCATTTAGAACATAATAGTTACTTACCTAGAACACTTTCTGGTATTTTTCTGCCATTTTTATAAACCTTGGCATAAAATTTATCTAAACTAGTATCCATAACTTCCATGCAAATCCATACATCTCCTTCTCTAAAGAGCGCCCCGTAAAATTGGACAGTATATGGACAGGCACTACTTCTCATAGAAATGTCAAGGTCCATTAGTAATCTTTTATTTTCCTGGATATTGACAGTAGCCGTGATTCTTTTAACAGCCATTATGGTTTCACTTGGAATGTGCTTCATTTTCTCAACTACTCCATATGCACCTCTACCCAAGTCACAAATTTTTTCAAGATCATCAGCTTCAACGTCACACGTTCTGTCTCCAATGGTTATTGTTGTTCTTGTATCCAAGTTTGCAGGAGGAATTCTAAAAATTAGTTATTGCATTCTTTAATATTTTATGCCGAGAATAATTTACATCAACAACAAAATATCTTTATTGGTTTCTAAAAAGATGGTATTCCACTATATTTACAAATGTGACATAAACTAAGATATAACAAATTATAGGCCTATTTGCATTCAATCACCGAAGGTTATTTTCCTATTAATTAGTGAGTGGTATGTATAGTTCCTTTGCCTAAAGTAACAAATCCTAAAGAAATCAACCAGTTAAGGCCTAATGGTAAGCTGTCAGTATTATCCAAAATGATGGAAAAATTAATTTATCCACAGAGGGTACAATATTTATTAGATAACAAGTTATTTGCCAAAAATCAGTCTGGGTTTAGATCATCACATTGTACGGAAACTGCACTAACTAAAATGCTGGATGACATAATACAGGCAGTGGATAAAGAAAAAATTACAATACTAGTTTTGTTGAATTACAGTAAGGATTTTGATACCTTAGGCAGATAACTACTTTTAGCCAAATTGAATTATTATGGTTAATCTGCAGCATTGTTAAAATTATTAAAAAGTTACCTATCACATAGATGCCAATATGTGACATTAAACAATACGGAATCTAGCTCAAGATTAATTGAAAAAGGTGTACTTCAGGGCTCAATTCTTTACTTGATATATACAAGGATCTAAACTGGGCCTGCACAACATACGGTCCGCCATTGTCGTTTTCGTGGCCCTTTGTCCGTTGACCAGTTTGGCCCTACGTCAAACTATTATTTTTTAATAACAAAATTGCATTTAGGCGTTGTTTTTTTTAGAAGCTCGATAAAAGGAACTGGTTCATTATAAGCTGATGACAGTTTTTTTTTTGTTTTTAGTTTTTAGAAGCTCGATAGAAGGACTTGGTTTATTTGTTTATAAGGTGAGGACTTTTTTTTTTTTTTTTTTTTTTTTTTTAGAATCTGAACAAACTACTAGCTTTATAAATTTATAAGCTCAGGCTTATCTTTGGCCCTCGTACACTTACAGTTTTTGAACTGGCCTTTTAAAAATCTGATTTGTGCAGACCTGATCTAAACAGTAATGCAGTAAACTGTACAATAGATCAAAATTGCTGATGATACTCAAATATATACGAGCTTCTTAGTTAATGAACTGGGAATGCTAGTTTAGAGATAAATCAAACTGTCTAATATATTCGAGTATTCAGTAAAACATGGGCTAAAAATAAATCCTGCAAAAACTCTAGCAATATGTTTTAGTAATGTTACAGAAGTTATAAAAGATAATTTGAACATTTAAATTGATAATGGGTAGTTGAGCCGTGTAACTTTTGGGAATTTATATTGACACTAAATTGAGATTTAAAGAACAATTTAGATCCCCTGTTCAAAAATGTAATTATTCTTTAAAAAAAATCTTTATCGAAGTAGATATTTTCTAAACTCATCTCTAAAAACACAACTCTGTGAGCCGTTAATATTAAGTCATACCAATTATGCTGATTTTGTTTACGGACCATGTTTAGATATAGACTCGTCGACGGGACTACAAAGAATTTTTTATTAAAATCTAGAGATCATGTTTCAAATAAACTGAAAAAATTGGGTGGCATAATATGTTTAATAGACGAAAACATCATATGGCTTCACTTTGTTTTTGCGTTTAATTGTATTGGTAGAGGAGCCAGTGGCACTTTTAGCTGTTATTTGTGAAAGGCAAAATTACAATTATTATATCGTTCATTCTTAAAAAAAAAAAGAATCAGAAACCATCAATGAAGACATCTTAAAAAAGCCTATGTAGAAAATGCTGTCCTAGAACAGCAAGCTTTGAAACTTTTCTTTTATTATTTACATCAATAGTTAATAGAAAAACATTTGCTGCCACCTTCTTGAAATTTGATTCACAGTACCTTCTTGCTTCCTGATAGGGCATTTCACCGCCAGACCTATTGGAACAAACGATTGTCACAGATAATATATTATTCTATTACAAAAAAAATAAGCATTACGTAAATAATTGTATTTTTTAAACTTGACAGTTTTCCACCTCTACCAAGCAAACTTTTTTCTATTTTTTGTTTTCTATATTGGCTTTTTGAAGACGTCGTTATCGAGCGCTCCATAGCTTATGCGTCTACAGCAAAGTATTTCCATCTTCTACAAGGTAAGAATTAACGATACATTTATAATTTAGCCGCGTACAAATTTGTACAAAAAAAAAAAACTATCACTGGATCCCCTACTAAATAGACTCGATGACAGTTGTTTAAATTAACGATGACATAAGGTAATCATTAGCCAACCTAACAATTGTAAGGCGAGAATAAGAAAAGAAACAATTAACGCCCGTATGCACCGTACACGTTTAATCCAGATTAAGGGTTTAATCGCGTTTAGTACCATTTTTAGCTATGCACCGTAATAAAAATCATTCTTAATCCGGTTTTATTCTAATCCGTCAATACCGAAGGATTAAATTATTTAAACGAGATTTTCTAACGTCAAAAAGATGTCAACGGTTTGTCAGTGTATTTGGAACTTTCTATTTGTCTCTTGTATTTATTTTATTTGAATTTTATTAAAAAAACGGAAATAGAATACCAGCTTTTCCTGGAAGGTGACAAATATTTTAGCCAAAATTACGAGAGAAATTAATATTTTTACACGATGGGCAATTTTGTAATTTTTAAGTTTTTTGTATTCCAACGATAAAACATAATTCTGTAGTTAGACGGCAAATTCAGTTATGTTGAAAAAGGTAAAAATAAGTAAGCAATACATATATTATTAATGTAATATTGTCCAATTTTAAATACTGAAAATATGTGATCTAGTTTTGAACATGCACAGTATAGGGACAGTATTCACAGGTATATCGTTTTGCATAAAAACGCCCTGAAATAGATAAAGCAGTTTGTGTATGTATTATGTTTATTGCCAAAAATATTATTGGTTTTGCCATCTAACCATAGAATTATTTTTTAAATTAATTTGACATTCTCTTTTATCCTGCGTAAAATTCGATATGCAGTGTGTTTACGGTTTTGGTATATTTAAAAAAATAGGGCTTCTATCTTCAAATGGCCTCTTATCTTTTGACATACATTTCTCCTACTCAAATCTGAAGTTTTCTTCTTCTCTTTTTTTGTGAAATTTATAAAAATCCAGTGTTGTCAGATTACTAAACTCGATTACCTAATCCTTAGCCGGTGCATAAAAAATAACCACTAGTCATTTAAACGAGATTTGCAAATCTGGATTAAATTTTAAAACGGTGCATATGGGCGTAAGTAGTTTCGAAAATTACTAGATTCAATATTCACCTGCTTTTTTTTGCACATGAGTAATGCGAAATTGTCCAATAACGGGAAAGGTCAATTATATAAAATATTTGTATTTGGTACTCGGTTTAGTGCAATGGCTATAAAATAAAATTATTATATTGTTCATTAGTGAGGTCTAATGTCTAATGTTGAATATAATTAAATCTTAAGGAATCTCTACCGTAAAAGGAACATCGATATAATTGAAAGTGTTTAACATAAATTTTTGAAATATGCTGCAGAAAGCAACAATTATGACATTTTGTTAAGGCTTAATTTGAATTCTCTTGAGCATCGCAGAACGGAATTAGCTCTCTGCCTTCTTCGCAATTTACTAAGAGATACAATTTGCTGTCCTGATTTGAAGCTGGATTTATAAACTACGTTCAGTTGGCGTTCAGTTCACACTCAGTTCGAGTAGATGAATTCGCACTGAACCCAATTTATAAAGTCGTTGGCCGTTTGTTCGTCGCTGAGAATTTTGACATTTGATTTGACAAGTAATAACCACAAATTCCACAATATAAAATATATTTCGTAGTTATTTTGTTTTAATTATATTTGTAGATGGTGTTGGTTATAAAATAATTATAAATCCCTTATAATTTCTTATCCAAAACAAACTTATCGTGTCATTTTAGGATCGCGTTTACGCATACGTGGTCAAATAACCAGATACGTGTTTTTCATTGGATCGACGTTCGTAGCGTTCGTAGTTAGATATTTAATTTTTATTAATTTTTGTTAATTTTTATTAATTTTTATTAATTTTTATTAATTTTTATTAATTTTTATTAATTTTTATTAATTTTTATTAATTTTTATTAATTTTTATTAATTTTTATTAATTTTTATTAATTTTTATTAATGTTTATTAATTTTTATTAATTTTTATTAATTTTTAATAATTTTTATTAATTTTTATTAATTTTTATTTATTTTTATTAATTTTTATTTATTTTTATTAATTTTTATTAATTTTTATTTATTTTTATTAATTTTTATTAATTTTTATTAATTTTTATTAATTTTTTTTAATTTTTATTAATTTTTATTAATTTTTATTAATTTTTAATAATTTTTATTAATTTTTATTAATTTTTATTAATTTTTATTAATTTTTATTAATTTTTATTAATTTTTATTAATTTTTATTAATTTTTATTAATTTTTATTAATTTTTATTAATTTTTATTAATTTTTATTAATTTTTATTAATTTTTATTAATTTTTATTAATTTTTGTTAATTTTTAAAATTTTTTATTAATTTTTATTAATTTTTATTAATTTTTAATAATTTTTATTGTTATTAATTTTTATAAATTTTTATGAATTTTTATGAATTTTTATGAATTTTTATGAATTTTTATGAATTTTTATGAATTTTCATTAATTCTTAATTTTTATTAATTTTTAATAACTTTTATTTTTATTAATTTTTATTATTTTTAATAATTTTTATTAATTTTTTATTAATTTTTATTAATTTTTATTAATTTTTATTAATTTTTATTAATTTTTATTAATTTTTATGAATTTTTATGAATTTTTATGAATTTTTTATTAATATTCATTTTTATTAATTTTTTATTATTTTTTATTAATTTTTATTAATTTTTTATTAATTTTTATGAATTTTTATGAATTTTTATGAATTTTTATGAATTTTTATGAATTTTTATGAATT